ATGATGACGTAGACTGGGAGGAAGGTTGATGAAATGAAAGCATTTACATGGTTAGCGTGAAATCACTTGTAGCTCCCTAATGATTCTGTAAAATCAGGGCTTATACTTGGCTACTCTTGTGATGAAGCCGGTAGCAGCACTGTGTCTCTGCCAGCTCCCCATCCTTAATGAGAGAGTTATAACAATCTATAACTTGATCAATGAAATGCTGATGCTTTCTTGGTGTGCATTGCCTTGAATTTGGTTGCTCACTTAATCTCATAGGTGTTTCATAAAATTAAGGACGATTTGCAACTTAACCTGGAGAAAGCGCCAAGGAAGTAGTTATCCTCGTAGTTTTGCTGTATGCATTTTTGATATCTGCCTATGTCACTGGGCGATGCATCATTGCAAACCGTCACCGTCTTGGCAGCTGATGCTATTGTACTGTGAGCACATGTTTGGACAGACATTTTAAATTTCTTATTAGTTAATTTTTTGGTTATAAATCACCAAAAGTAATTTGTACTAAAGAGTCAATAATTAATAAATATTCGGCTTGTGAAAAATTTTAACATGTGATGTGATCGTCTCAACATTCTCTTGGCTGTGGCTGCTCACTGGTGGTGGGCGTTAGATTAATGAGATGAGGCTAAGTTGGTAGTTTTCAAATCTCATCTAGGCTTTTAATCTACAGGAAACTTGGCCATGAAAATGGTGTCCAGGGCTTGTGGCACTTTTCAAACTTGGCATTGTTAGGAGATGTTCAGCTTTGGCGCTAATTTGATTGCAGTCCCTGGCTATCATTTAAATGTGTGTAAGTTTGTACTATGGTAGCTTTTACAATGTTTCTGCACTCTAATGGTAGAATCAAGAAAATAATCATGTTTCATTCACAAAATGGGCATTTCTCTTGCAATTTTCATATATGCCTTCTGTTTTTATATTGGAAATGAATGATGAATTCAACTACTAGCTTTGATTTAACCTAAATGACTGAAAATATTACGAAGTTTTTTTTTTAATGGAAAGAAACCCATAAAATTTTAAAAATGTTCCTTGGATTAAAGGGGCGTTTGTTTCAGTTTCTGTAAAGCACTTTCGTGCAAGTCACACGCACCTTCGAAGCAGTAATAAACGAAAGAAAGCACAATGTTAGCCCCACGTGCCCCAAAAACAGGGAGCTTTTGTGATGAAGTTCGCTTGAATCAAAACAATAATGTAATTTTAATTTGGAAGGAGACAGATCAATAAGTGTAACTGAAGCAAGTGTTTTCTTTTTATGCGACATTTGTGGGTTCCGATCTGCATTCTGGATTTAGTACTTGGAACAGTTTTATAATTTGACGAGGCGACTAATGCCAGCTTCACAAGTTTGTGTTGTTTATTTATTTTATCCTTTTTCCCCAAATTGAAGGTTCCCAGCTAGCTCCCCTGAATTTCAAAAATGAACAGTCAACGTCATACTAATTCCTCCATGCTTTAAGCTTCCGTATTCTTCATAATTAATGTAAATTTCACACATTTTGCTTACAAAATTGAGAAAAGAAATCAGTAATTTTATCTTTTCACCTCCGATTTTTAATATAATGACTTTTATTTTGGTCCTAAGTATAAGACCCCAATCTATTTTATTTCTAATATTCATGTATTTTTTTTCTAAAATAATCCTTCTAACAATAGTAGTTCTAACTAATACATTTGATTAGTAAAGATATTTTAGGAAAGACAACACCTATTTATGACAAATAACTAATTTAACTTCTTTCCTTAAATTTCTCAAATCAGTCAACTAACTCTTATAATTAGAATCAATATATAGGTTATTTTGTAAAAAATTTGAATATATGCTGGTAAAACATAAGCTAGTCCTTGTTCTGGTCAAACGGTACCGATGGCTTGAACGCAAAGGAAGCGTCGTTGGAACAAGAACTCTGGACAAGATTCCCCTCTCTTCGCATATTAAAACCCTTTTTAACATCGATTCACCCAAAAAAAATAAAAAAAAAATTTCAAAATTAACATTAAAATCAAAATTAAAGTTTTCAAGCTTCTGAGTCTTGAGGAAGCAAAGCTAGCAGCTATCTTTCTCCGACCTCCATGTCCGCCATATATTTCTTGTCATACAATACAATTAATTTTGAAAAATACATACGAATCCACCCTTGCTTAATAAATAAATAAAAATGGTTAGTATCATTGTTAATCCTTATAATTTTATCAAGTGTTAATTTCAATTCCTAGAATTTTATAACAAGTTTAACGAATGGTTTTTATATTTTTAAAGAGTTATGGTTTTGGCTCCTGTCCTTAAAAGTCTTTATGAAATTATAGAAATCAAAATCAAATCAAAAAATAATATTAATGAATATGGGTTCTCGACTGTTGTGAGTCTCAAGAAAAGTGAATTAGCTGTGATCAAAAGATTGGATCCGCGTGATTAATTTTGACTGTATAGGCTGAAGAATATAAGAGATATTTCTGAGAACTAACGATAATGTTCTGTCCATATTCTTCTTTCAGCCAAGTTAAATCTCTCTTGTATATCTCCATGCAACTGTAATATCTCTGCATATCCTTTCATGGCCATGGTGGTGATCAGACTCCAACTTCTGCTTCCTCTCATTCTTCTCTGTCTTTCCCTCCTTCTCCTCTTCTTCATCATTCTCTCTCATGTCTCCTTCGTTTCCAGCTTGTCTTTGCCTCCCAATAGGAACCTCATAGCATCCACATTTGAGTTCACCCCTTTCCTCCGCCGCCGCCGCCGCTCCTCCCCGGACGGAAGAGAAGTCGTCGATCCACCTTATGGTGCTCAGAAACGCCATGTCCCTACTGGTCCCAACCCGTTGCACCACTGATTACTTATATATGTACAATAAAGGTTCCCGTTATGCAATGCTTCTCCATTTCCCTCTTTTCATCTTCTTCATCATTATTATGTAATCTTTCTGTATCGATTCATCCAAAGGCCAAGTAATTAAAATGTCAGATATGATTCATTTATCTGTTACGTCCTTTACATACTGATAAACTTATTCATACATAAGTTAAATAGATACACACACATATATATACACACGTGCATATATATAGATATAGTGTTCAAGTATATTCATAAGTGAGGATAGAAATCACCCTCAAGAATTTGTGTGTGTGTGCATATATATGTTGGAAGATAGATTTTGGCATATGAATGGAAGCAAAGCCATTTAAGAAGGAAGCTAAGGAAGGGTTTTGTGCACTATCATGTATGTATTGAAACTGTTGGTTAATTAGTGGATTAAACAAATTAAATTTTGTAGGAAGCATTGATTTAACCCAAGAATAACCCAGTCAAGATTATTATTGTTAACTAATACCGAAGGGTTTCAATAATTATTACTAGTTTAGGGAGAATAGAAAGAAATTAATGAATTTGCAGCCACACAGGATAATTGTAAGGTGAAATAAATATACACCTGAATTTGCATGAAACATTGTACTGTCAACAATATTTAGTTTAATTTATTTATTTAATGTAAAATTTATGGCAAGCTAAAGCTATAGTAATTATAAAGTCATAAGCACCATAAGTGATTAAATTTCCGGCTGTAGATTGAAAAAAACATATGATTAATCCTAGTCATTTTGTGCCTTATAAATGGTGACCACTGGAAAGGAATGAGGCAAAATTTCTGAGCCATGCCGAGTTCATCAGGATTCAGGAGGCCCACCGTGTCCTTCTTTCTTCTTTCAAAGATTACATTTGTTTTTCTGTTGGGAAAAATTACATTATTTGTAAGATTTACGCCAATTATAATTAAAATAATAATATTTAATTAAGACATATAAGAATATTCAAATTAAAAAATAAGGCATTAATTATGAGATAAATAGGAGGTTCATTGTGTAAAAATTTCAACATTTTACCAACCAGCACTTGGATCGGTTGGCTGTGGGTCATTTCAACTTAGGGTCTGTTTGGCTCAATGAGAGGAAGGGGAGGGATTTTAATAGAAGGAAGGGGAAGAAAGGAGAGTAGAAGGATTTTAATATTATCTTATTTAGATTTAAAAAAAAACAGAGAGGAAAGGTTTTAATATTACCTTGTTTGGTTCATGAGGGGAGGGGAGAGAAAAATATTTTAATATGGACAATTTTGCCTTTATTTTTAGATATAAGATATAGGCATAATAGTCACAACATGACAAAATATTGTCTTTTCTCTCCAAATCCTCCTAATTTTGGAGGGGAGGGGAGCGAAAATGTTCCCTCCCTCCTAATATTTGTGTGGTACCAAATAAGAGAAAATCTTTCCCCCTCCCTCCTCTCCTTTCCAAATCCTCATACCAAACACATCTTAATCTCAGCTATTGTTAGTACCGTGGAGAAATCCAAATACTACCTCCGGTCCTTAATATAAGACTCTGTTTGACTTTTATTTTGATCTTAAATATAAAATCCCAATCCACTTTGTCTCTCATATTTATACATTTTTTCCAAAATAGCCCTTCTAACAATGATAGTTCTAGTCAATACACTTGATTAGTAAGGATATTTTAGGAAAGATAACATCTATTTAGGATAAATAACTAACTCAACTTACTTCCTTAATTTCTTTAAATTAGTCAACTGACTCTTATAATTAGACAGAGATAGTAATTTTTTTAATGTTTTATATAACATGATTTAAACAAAAACTTTAATTTCAGATTATTCGAAAGATAAATATTATGAGGATATTTCTTCATAGGAAGATTACAACCATGTAAGATGCATATTTAATGAAACGAAACTCTAAGATACATATCTCTAATTGGCAAAAAAAGAATTCATATCTCTAACTTAAGGCTGACTATAAGAGAGCTCCCTTATTTTTCACCACCAAAAAAATCTTTAATTTTTTTATAAACACTTTTTTTTTTTTAAAGGAGACAATCATGTTTGAGGTATATACGTAGGTAGTGGTCTAATGAGAAATTGAGAATTCCAAACTTCGTTCGTTACCATTGACCAACGCATAACCTATCTCCTCCTTCCTCTTCATATATCAATTTTCGAAAGCGGTACGACTCAAAGGCATATGCATCTTCATGGATTGTATCAGTAAATATTCTGGAAGAATAGGAATGCCTTTGAATCCGTCTCAATGCCACTCTTCACAACTGTTCCCAATTCCCATGTCTTCTCTTTCTTATCCGTTGCCAAATTCCAGGAGAATACAGCCTCCACTGTTTCCACTGGCTACACGCACAATCCGGATTTCTTGTGTTTCTGTCAGTCGCAAGAGTAAATCGAGTGACAAATCCGAATCTCAAGAGCTGGTTCGCTTGCTTGTGGGCAAGTTTAGTGAAAAAGAGCCGATATTGAAGACATTGAACAAGTATGTGAAGCTGGTAAGAACTGAGCACTGCTTTCTGCTGTTTGAAGAGCTCGGAAAGCGTGATAGCTGGCTGCAATGCCTTGAGGTTAGTTTCGTTCTTTCAGTCTTAGATAATATCTCTGTAATATAAATTAGTTGGTTCTGCTTTCTGTACTGTTGTCGATAACTGATAATGCTTTTTTTGGGGTTGATATTCTCTGCTATCTCCAAGATTGGTAGTGCCGAAATATTCTGTCAGTGGGAGTGGGAGGCTACCTGAATTTGTAGGCCTTTAAAACTGGACATAAATTTGCTTCTCATGTGAATGATTGAACATTCTCAGGATAGTTCATATCACCAACAACTTTTTAGGACTCACATTTGCCAGACATGGTTTTAACAGAAATTCACCACACCACTCTACTAGCGAGTTTCATTGGCTCATGCTATAGTTAGCCAATACATTATGTACTGAAAAACTACTCCATATGGCCATTTAGGACATGTTGAGCATTAAAAGAAAAGGGAGCATGGAAAATAGCTATGACATTTTACAATTTCAGCAGTTATCTGCTTGTCTCAAAAGTGTTTAGTATTCAGGTTTTCAGATGGATGCAGAAGCAACGCTGGTATGTTGCAGATAATGGGGTTTACTCAAAACTAATATCAGTAATGGGAAAGAAAGGCCAAACCAGACTGGCTATGTGGCTTTTCACAGAGATGCGCAATACCGGCTGTCGCCCTGATACATCAGTCTATAATGCACTTATCACAGCGCATCTTCATTCACGGGATAAAGCAAAGGCTTTGGCCAAAGCTCTTGGTTACTTTGAGAAGATGAAGGGAATGGAGCGATGTAGACCCAACATTGTAACATACAACATTCTGTTGAGAGCTTTTGCCCAAGCTCGGGATGTGGATCGTGTAAATTTCTTGTTTAAAGATCTCAATGAGAGCATAGTTTCACCTGATATTTACACTTTTAATGGTATCATGGATGCTTACGGGAAAAATGGGATGATTCGAGAAATGGAATCTGTACTCTCTCAAATGAAAAGCAATCAGTGTAAGCCTGACATAATTACCTTTAATCTGCTCATTGATTCATATGGGAAAAGGCAACAATTTGATAAGATGGAACAAGTGTTCAAGAGTTTATTACGCTCCAAAGAGAAACCGACTCTGCCTACATATAATTCAATGATTTTGAATTATGGGAAGGCACGTCTCAGAGATAAAGCAGAAAATGTTTACAAAAAGATGACTGACATGGGTTACAAACCTAACTTTGTCACATATGAGAGTCTCATCTATATGTATGGTTTCTGCGATTGCGTTTCCAGGGCGAGAGAGTTATTTGATGGACTGGTTGAGTCAAAAGTTGACATAAAAGTTTCAACCCTAAATGCAATGCTGGATGTTTACTGCATGAATGGTTTGCCAACGGAAGCTGATGCACTGTTTGAGAGGGCAAGAAGTATGCAAGTTTTTCTAGATTCGTCAACGTATAAACTTCTTTATGCGGCTTATACTAAAGCCGGTTTGAAGGAGTATCTAGCTAAATTACTAAAGCATATGGATAAAGATGGTATTGTCCCTAATAAGAGGTTCTTTCTGGATGCTTTGGCTGCTTTTGGGTCTTCACCGGCAAATTCAAAATCTGAAATTGCTGCTACTGATTCAAGCAAGCCCCGGGATCATGCAAAAGCTCAGCACAATATGTAGCTGGCAGTACATGCGAATGAAACTCCTAACCAACATGTCTGGTGGAGAATTGCATAACAGAAAATAACTCCCTTGTATGATGGTATGTCATATCTCTTTGCCCAGTTTTTAGCTTCATTCTAATCTGCATCGGTTTGATTCTTCTGAAGAACAGAGTTTTCATTGGTCCTCATTTGACATCAATCAACAACCCCCCCTCCTTTAAAAAAAGGGGATTCTCTGTTAGCATACCAAGTTACCCACTTGCAAACTCATAACTTTGCTGTTGATTATAACAATGACCAACGCCCTGCTGAAGATTTTGCTTCAAAACTCACAATAACCAACTGATGTATAGAGTATTTCATAAATTATAATCTCATGTGTAAAAATTGAAGTTGTGCGCGTATTTAACGACGGCAAACTTTCAAAGTAGTCTCGGTGAGAAACTTTTTTGGACCCGACAGCCTTACTGTAATAATTTCCTTTGTTTTTTTTTTCCTGCTTGCTGACTGAAGTTAATTGCCATGCTCGTCATATTTCAGGGTCTGTTAACCTTCTCTAATCTGGTCACTTCACTTACATGCTCAGCAACGCTAAGGACAGTTTCAGTTGATATGTTTAGAGCATACTGGTCATGACTGATGCAGTTTTGGCTTTTGGGGCCTATTTGCCTCTAGGGATTCACATTTTTCTGAAGGAAAAAAAATTGCAGAGGAGCTTAACTGTCAGTTTGTCACGAAAGCGGAATCTACTATTGTTACATGAGCTCCATTCCTCTTTACCCCCCGATGAATTAATTTCTTTATTGCAAATCCAACACCATTGAATCAATTTTGGTTCTAAAGTGAAGTAAGGGCATGATGGAGATATAAAACAGCCGTGTTACAAATGAATCCTTAGAAATATGAAGTGTTACTAACTATTTTCCTATAATTTTGCATGAGGTAATTGTTTCGCTGCTGTATTTGCCATACTGGTCATATTTCTTCTTGTAGTTTATTGTATATTTTGATAGTTTTCCACTTTTCCTTTATTTTTTAGGATCTGGCAACCTTCAGTCAAGACTCGTTTCAATGAGTCTGAGTTGGCCCATATTGTGGCTCCAGAAACAACTTTTTTAATATGATCTTTATCAACAAAAACAGAATAAAAGCCTTGCCTGATGCTCATCAAATGAAATGACAACGAAAATGACGCTTCTTGTATAATCGCATTGTGAATGAATGACTTCCAGTAAATCCTTTTGACTAGTTTAATGAAAAAAACCAACGGAAAGGTTCTTTGACCAAGTCATGCATGACGAGGTTCATTTTTGTTCATAAGCACTGCCTCTTCAATGTCCCATGACTTCATGGCTCGTTGAAGAGGGTTCGTCCTCGTTGGAAGCATTGGTGACAAAGTGATGCATCAGACCTGACAGCTGCCAAAGCCAGTGAATTGCAGGCTTCAAACTTCAAAACCCAAGTTAGTACCAATGATTTGTTTGCTAAGATAAATAAAACTACAACACTAAAATGCTACGCTCACCTAAACATTGCATAAACCAATCTAAGGTTAGCTAAATAACCATTGAGTCCCCCAACACGCCCTCTCTTCCCTTCTCTCTTTTGGAATGGAAGAAGTTAATTATTTTACTGTAAATCGGTCCATAAAGAGCAAGTTTACAACCAAAGCATTTTTTCATGAAACAAAACACTCATACAAAGTACCCCAGTATTCAGAACTCTTTGGCTCTATGGCTGAGTTAATTTCGTCCGCATGATTACCAATTCCTCGGAAGCTGGAAGGCCGCCATATTTACATTTAGTCAATCTACTTTGGTGTCAGGGGCAACTCTTGAGTCTGGAAAATTGGAGGGAAAAAAAATCGCAGTTCATTATTAATTAGGCATGGAATGCGATTGATCGGTGCACATTGAGATATTTACAACTCACTTTGCTTGTTTTTGAACCACTATGAGCCACTTAAGGGGTTTAGTAGGCCTTCAACCCTCTTCTGATTCTGCACATTAAAATGGATATCAGAACAGAAGAACTTGCGGTATTTCATAACAGAAGTGAATACTCATCGTCTGAAAGGAAAATCATTGAGGAGGGTAAATAGGAATTCAGAGAACTAAGTAAATGTTAGACAAAAGGCAAGAAAACCTCTTTTTCATATGGCAACAATACCATGAACAATATATAAAAAAGAGCTCGATACGACATTCTTAATACCGCGTATCGCTTCCATGTTATTTTCCTTGTAAACACCGAGGGGTGATCCATGGACAGAAAGAAGCATCTCGCCAGGTTTGGGCAGCCTAAGCGTTTTGGGTGTCATCCCTACAGACAATCTTTGACTACTCACCTGCAAAAACCAAACAAATTAATTTATCCTGCTTTTAGAGATAAAAGCCTATCTCCAAAATCAACTCAGCTATTAATAGCTAAAATGTAGTTTACTCTTTCCGCGGTCAATGTTCGTCAGTTAAGTATCTAACCCAAAAAAAAAAAAAATACTGTAGTTAGTAGATGTATTCAAGCAAAGGCCACGGAACATGAGGATTGAGGAGGGTACTCCTTCAGGGACTTCACATCCTGACCTACTGTCTTACATTATTTTCTGAAGATCTTGGTGCAGATTAATTAGCATTTGGCGGTTGATATGCATCAACAAAACAATAATTGTGTCATAGAGCTCAGTTATATAGCATACAGAGAACCGCAAATTATTTGCGCACTTTGACTAAATTACATGAGCATTCTGCATTCGAATAAATGATGCAAAAATTTAATCCCATTCTAAACAGTGTCAAAGATCACTGACTATTAACGACTTGAAAATATAGAAGCCTGATAAAAAAATGGTAGCGCAGAAGCAAAATCCACAAATGAAACGAGAGGAAGATAATACAAAATACAGACCCCAGGAGTCTGAAGTGCTTCCTGCATTGCGAGAGTCTGAGCTTCGGATGGCTCCTCCAAACTCTAAATAATAGACACGTCAAACAATTAGCAGAGAACATGTCTACTCATATTTTTTAGCAAAACAATTTTCAGCTTTTGGCATAAAAATAAAGCAAAACAGAACTTACAAAATCTTTAATATACAAGTTGTCAGAGCCAAGAAGACTTGCTCTTCCTGCCAATAATCAAATAACCATATTTAGGTAAAGTTTACCCAAAAAAAGCAAAAGAAAAAAAAAAGCATGCATAAAATAAGGTAACTACCAGCCTTGCTAGAGTATTCAAAGCCATCCAAAGGAGGGATTGCAGAAGAGAAGTCAGGAAAAGCCATAGACAATCTTTGCAGAAGAGAAGCATGTACATTTCTTCCTTCAGCACAGCTCATGGACATCCTATTGTCTTTATTATTCCATCTCAATTCAAGCTTCTTATTCTCTTTGTCATTTAGAACTGAAAGATTTGGGAAATTTTCTTCAAAAATTTGTAGTACCGGTTTCTGGAGCTGTTCCTTGCTAAAATACGACCGAAGTAAACGCAACTCAGTCAGCAAATGTTCAACCTCCACATCACGCACAGCCCTAACGGCAGCAGCTTGTCGCTCAACTGGTAAACAAAAATTGTTGAAGTTAGAATTAAAACCCTAAATACGCTAAAAACCATGTAGAAATCTGCTGATGTGGAAAAGAGCAATTCGGTGGATTACACTCCACAAAATTGAAGCCATAAAATTTGCCTTTTCAAATGTAAATAGGCTTCAGAACTTAGATGGATACTATACTAATTTTCATAGTCAGAAAGCACAAATGGAACAATACAAACACACAGAAAAATATACCCTCGAGGTCTATGAATTGAGCTTGTTGCGATTCAATTTGACCCTCCTTGGGCTCGTCATTGCCGTTTCTATTGGCTTCAGGTGAGGATTCAGTCTTTCGAACGGTTCTCTTGACTCTACGTCTCGCCATTTTCGCACTTACGAAACAAATCTCTCACTGATCCAGCGGCTGCCCCAGGAAAAGCGCATCATCAATCTTAAGGTAAAACCATTGAACACGAAACACACTGAAGACTACAAATCAGAGAAATACAACTAGGGTCACAGATTTCTTACGGTGAAAGCATGAGCACCGAACGATGATATCACCAATTTGGGAGGGAAAAGACACTGCGAGAAGAAGCACCGAACCACACAGATAGAAGTTTTTGAACGTTAAGGCAGGACGAATCGAATCGAACTCTTCATTTTTAAATCTACATTGAAAATTTGAAATCTCCTGGGGAAAAAATCATGACGGCTTCTTTTAAAATTATGGATTGGGCCGTCGAAGGACCTTAGTGGCCCATAAAAATTCTAATCCAAAATAGTCTGGCCTAACAACATATTGGGCTCTGATCAGAAAGCTGGGCCTCTTTAAACATCCATTCTAAATGACGTATAAAACACTTCAAAATCCACGCAAAGCATAGCCATAAAATTTTGTCATTTATAAAACTAATAAAAAATTAAAAATGTAAGAAAGTCAATAGAAACAAGAGAAAATTTAATTTTTTGTGTAAAAAAAAATCATGTTGAGAATGCTAATCTATTTAAGCTTTAGTTCTCTAAGAATATACGCCGTTTGTATCTCCTTAATTGTCAACTTTGGAAAAACGTTATCTATATTTATTATTTTAATTTCAATACAGCGTTAATTAATATTATTTTAATGATATCCTTATTTATAAAAAATCCAATGCAACACTAATTATTAAGATAAATATTTAAAATGTAGTAAGAAATTTTTTTAAAAAAATCCTAACATATGAATTATATTGTTGTGACATAAAAAAGGACAAGAGGGTGTAGTAATAGCAAAAGTAGTTAAAAGCTAGTGCTTACTTGTCATGTTCGGATGAAGTCTTGGATTTGAGTACGACATTAACATATTTGGTTATGGGGGTGTTTGGATAGAAATCAAATCATGATTTCAAAAGTGTTTTTGCGGTTTACGAAGTAAATATGTGAAGGAATTTGTCTCGTTTTGCGGAAAAGTGCTTCTGAAATCATGGTTTGGAAGTTGCCAAACACCCTCTATATGTGTTTGAATTGTACTGAATTAAAAAAAAAATAAAGATAGTATTTGCGTACAAATATTTGAAGCATCATTGTTAACAATCTGAGTGGGTGCTTCATCTTCATACAATCATTTGAATTATATTGGTGTGACATAAAAAAGAACAAAAGGGTGTATTCATAGCAAAAGTAGTTAACGGTTAGTATCCTAGTATCCTAGCAGTAATACCACCTATCACGTCAGAATGAGGTTCCAGATTCTAGTCTATAATTAACATATAAAAAACAAAGGTAGTGTTTGTGTACAAATATTTGGTGCATTATTGATAACAACCTAAGTGGGTGCTTTATCTTCATACAATCATTTGTAATTCCCATGCGTTGTGGACTCTCTTTCACACAGTTGCATTCTTCCACTTTCTCCCTCAACCTTATCCCAGATTTGACATTTCAATATTAAATCCTTTTTTTTTTAATAGAAAATGACCATTCCTAACCCTCCGTTATCAAACGTAATTTTCTGGCTAGACAAAGGAAAACCACGACAACAAAATAATTGCGCTAGGAATGGGAGTGAAACCGAAAACGGGGAGACAGTACAAATAGATGAGAGCGAGACCATATCTTAACACCAAAAAAAAAAAAAAATCCAAGGGTTATGGAGAAATTAGAATCATGGCCAAGACATTCAACAAGATATTATAATAATGTTATAAAAATACTCCTCCGGTCCTAATTATAAGACCCAATTGACTTATTTGAAGAGATTAAGGAAGTAAGTTAAGTTGGTTATTTATAATAAATAAGTGTTGTCATTCCTAAAATATCCTTGCTAATTAAGTATATTGGCTAAAACTATCATTATTAGAAGGATTATCTTGGAAAAAAATGCATAAATATAAGAGACAAAATGGATTGGGGTCTTATAATTAGAACCAAATAAAAAGTCAAATGGGGTCTTATAATAAGGACTGGAGGAGTAACTCAAATAACCCCAAATTCTAATTTCCGATTAATGATGAAATGATACTTAAAATACTAATTAATGACTCTTGACTCATGACCTTATTGAAAAACAAAAGCTACGAACTTAAATAGAAAAATGGACTTATATAAGACATATGGAATCCAATTGTATTAGTATTCATACAATGCCTTTTGTAACTCTAAACTAGCCACATTTCCAAGTACTATTCATACTAATGAATTTTCATGGGCATGCATTTAAGTATAAATGTGTAGATCATGGCTCAATTTGCTTCTTTCAAGCGCACATTTATGTATTGGGCCTTCAATAGGGTGATTTAGACTCTCAATGTAATCTTCTAGTTCTAAATATAAGATACGTTTTACAGTGTAAATTATATTATAAAATAAGTCTTGTATTATAACCTCTTGAAATAAATCTCTTCGCCTAGTCTTTCCTCCACTTGAATGACTTGGCTTCGGGTGATATGATGACATCGGATGCCACTTAGGACTTAAGGTTTTTCTGTCATGGGATGCCACCTAGGACTTGGGTGTCATGTTGGATGCCCCATATGCTACCATGTATGACTTGATCACCATGTAGAATGTTAATTATGATGCCATGTTGAACACTGCATAAGATGTTACCTTGGAGGCTAATTGGGATGCCACGTAGATTCACACCATTAAACAGAGTGGATTAGCCTTATGTGAAAAGGACGTCGTTGGAAACCATAATTGCACACGCGTTTGAAACACGCTATCAAAGTGGGTTGGGTTTCACTTGGTTTTGTCAAGAACTTGGTGTTTGAAGCATCTCCAATATAGGAGACATAATGAACTCACGCTTGAGAAGGAGATTATAAGGAGATTCAAGTGTGAGTAGACTTGAATTTGATGAACAAAGTCCAATTTCGGACAAAATTAGACCATATATATTCCTTCCATCTCTTATTATAAGAAATAATTATCAAAATCATAGGCTCAAATAGTTAAATTTAGTCAAAAATAATAAATGTGTAAGAGATATAAATATATATATTTTTAATTGTATCCTTATTTGTAAAGTGAGTACGTGAAAGATAATGAGTAAAAATTTATTGCAAAAAGATAATAAGTAGCATATATTTAATGAGAGTAAAAGTAAAAGGACCAGTTTAAAATTTTAGACAAAGAAGATTTGTTTCTTATGTTTAGTAACACCACTGTGACATGGATTGTTTCCTATAAAAGGTACAAAGGGAGTATAATAAATAACAGGAATAACTCTTTATCTTGAGCCTTGAGGTTTTGAATAAAGATATGAAGCTTATTTGGTTTCTTGTTTTGAGAACAATTTTTTGTTTTTAAAAACAGAAAAACAAAAAACCTTGTTTGGCAAAATGTTTTTAGTTGATTGTTCTGAAAAGCAAAAAAACAAAAATATATTTTTAAAAACTGAAAAACCAAAACAACTTTTATATGTTTTCTTGTTTTTGTTTTTGTGTTATTTATTTTTTTTGTTTTGAAAAATTAGAGAAATCTTCTTCTCTTCTTCTCTATTACCTACTACTTATCATTACTGATAGTAACTACCACTTATCAAAATATAATTTTTTATTTTTTTTTTCAAATGTGCTTTTTTAAAAATTATTTTCCAAACAAAGTTTTTTGTTTCCTGTTTCCAAAACATGTTCTTAAAAATAATTTTATAAAATTGTTTTGAGAATAAGAAAACAAGGAACAAAAACAAACAGGCCCTATAGTCTCTTTTTCAGTACTGTCACTCAATAGTTCTCTTCCCCCTTTTCATTAGCCCCCTTCTCTCTGTCTAGACATTTTCATCCTGCCAGTCTAAACTCATAGTCCTTTTGGTTTTATGTTGGTAGCCGCCTAAACCATAATTTCCAACATGAAACCAAACATATATACATAGAGAGGTGTGACTCAAACGTCCATGGAAGAAAAAAGAAAAGGATGCAAAAGAGAAAGCTTGTTCAATTCAGACAGATATTATCTGACATTCCCAATCAAGAACAAATATGTCCACGAAACACAGCTTTGCTATATACAATATATACCTTAAATTTACATGTTCGTTCAACTCCCGCTGAATCACTAATGCAAGAGATTATAAATAACTCACTAACAATAAAAAAGTATACGCTGAACCCTTCAAATTAAAGTGACATTTATTCACAGATTAAGACTTCCTGTTCATAAAATGGCCAGACACGTCTACAACTTCATGACACGACTGCAGGGAAAATTTGGGCAGTCTATATTATATGTTACAAGTTTTTGCTGCTTAATGGGGCAGTGGCCATGGTCCTCTAGTTCAACTTCCAAGCTTGTGTTCTTGCTGTAAGACTAAGCTGGTTCCCGAGGACGACTGGCCAAAAGTGAGCTCAAGGCTCGTAGGCGCTGGAAATATTCACCTACGGTGAGCAGGTATCGACCAGCCTGACGTATTGTTAGCATCCGAAACATTTGCTGCAATGTTTCCTGACGAAGATGATCAGCCTGTTTGACATAAAAGCTTAAGCTTACTAATAGTCAAGCTAAGATTATATAAATATATATATGCACACACCGTAGCAAGTTGGGTGGGAGTTAATGATCAATAATGGCATTCATTAACGATATTTTGAGTCATTATGATAAATAAAGAACAGTGTGCTTTATGATCTGATGTCTATTGGCATTCTCCAGGTCTATGGTCATTCTTCATATGGGTGAAAAGTTATGAAATGTTCAGTTCTCAACGCAGCACTGTGTAAATGTGAACATGATGTAGAATTAACATGATGTAGCCATTTATTTCCCTATTATAAATGTGAACAAAATTATGTGATATATGCATCTAGGCATGCAGAGAAACAATTTTTCACCCTTCCTGAACCTGTTGCTGGCAGAACTTATCCACATAGGAGAAAGGAAGCAAGACTAAATATTACAAAGCGGCTTAACCAATCCAAACGGGTTAAGCTTACATGCAAGAGTTTAAATGGAAAAATTCCAATGCTTTCAACAGAATTCTCAATGGCAATGTGGGATCTGAATCACATTCTTTTTCCTTACTATAACCCATCACTAATGACATTAAAACAAGGGCTGGGATGCAGTATGTACATTAATAGTGCAATTTATTCGCTCCATTTGGCATCATGTTAGAGCCCTGATCATGCTCATCTTGGATCATTTGAATAGATTTAATGCATTTTTCCTCAGTTATCTTTTCAGGACCTTATCCTGACAAAAATGGGAGAAAATTCCAGGGGAAAAGGAGCTGTGCCTGAATCAGTGCCGATTTATGTATATGCAGCAGACCATGCAAAGTACAACTAGAAAATTATTCTCTTGAGAAACATGACATGTGGTGAAAGCTGAAGGAAATTTTGACAAAACATGGAAAGTAAAGGATGTTAAAAAAGTGGAGTTCATTACCTGGTTTACAAAGCTCACGAGAGCTTCCATTTTCTCCATTGCAGCAGCCATCTGAGGAATATAAGGCCCTTCAACTAGCGGTCCAGCCGCTGCTATAGTATCGCCAAGTGTTTGCTGGAGTTTATCCATACCTTGAGAAAGGGCATCTTCTGCTTGCTGGCAAGATTGTTCGAGGTTAGAGATGTCAAACCGTTGTTGCTCTGTCAAGGGTTCAATCAGAGGGACAATGACCTGCAGTTAAAATTATTTGCTTTCATACTTGTATGTTACAAGCTTTATGAAACAGTGCAAAGTTATTAAGGCATTCAAATAAAAAAAAAAAAAAAGAGTTGTTTAAATACCCAGTGCAGGTGTGCTGCTGCAATTCTTTTACCAAGGCATGAAATCAAGAAATTTGGATCATCTAGTTGGTAAAGCGAAGTACTAGTACTCTATTTTCACCTATTTTTAATATACAAGTCTACAAGACAATTTATTGAACTTCAATTTCAGAAACTCAAACTTCAGAGAATCTAGATCCATAATCGAGTCAGCTCTTACATATCAGCTGGACCCTGCTCTTTATTTTAATTGATTGATTTTTAGAATAAATCATAAAAACATGACACTTTTGCCCTTTGTAGCTCTAATTTCATGCAATCATGTTTAATTCAAATTAATCATAATGCATTTAAGCACAATAAATATGATAAAATCCCCAAATAAGATATGGAAAATTATATTAAAATAGGGACTTATCAACAATCAAATCACTTTTTCAAAGGAACAACATATATAGACAGATACTATGAAGATATTCGTAACTTCGTTCAGTAATTAGATCTGAGATCTACCTTTAGAAGCTTAGAGGGGCGAAAGCCTCCAATCCACATGAAAAACCGCTCAGCTGTAGTTTTCCACATACCAAACATCACATAGAAAACATCTGCTTTTGCAGCAGCAGACTTCTTTCGATAGAGCTCAAAATAGTGATTCATTATACTATCTACAATTATCCTGAGCTCATTGTCACTAATATGAGCATTTAAAGCACCCCTTAGTTCACAAACTAGTCTATTTTGCTCTTCAACCCAGTGTCCATACTCCATCTCAAAGGTTGTAATACCTGCAGAATTGTTAGGTTGATTGATTTAGAATGCTAGAACTAATCGGAAAAAGGAGGAAATCCAGGAATCAGTACGATATCAACCAAAATGAACCGCATGAAGCATAAATCATAAAGCGCACAAAGAAAATTCCCAATCAATTTTAGAGTTGAACTTGCATTTCAATAAAATTGTGCCGAGGCAGGATGTAAGACTTACATTTAGGACACATTTAACGTATAGAGATAGTTGGCAATTTATAAGGGCAGTACTAGGGTCGTGTACAATATTTGAACAATGTAAGAATACAAACAAATGAAAAGAAGGGACTTTGTCCAAGAAAAAAAAATTAAATACTTTGGAATATGAGAATGAGATCGGATAATCTAGATTCAGCAGCGATTATCATATTGAATAAATCATTGACTCAACTCTGGCTACTGTACAGACAGACAGCGAAGTTTGAATGGGCAGCCATGGTCCAGGAATCTGGAAAATAAAGTGGAAGTTCAGAGCTTCAAAATTGATCAAGTTCAAAAAGATTTTATGACTTAAACCAATAGGACAAAAAGATATTCGGATATTCTGGGGTGACAAATGATACAGCGAAAATTCGGAGATTAATTTAGCATGCAAGTGATTTCACCAATGAATAAATTAAGAGACCATGAGAGCATTATATTATTAACCAAGATGCGGAATAACAACAACAAAATTTAAGGACAAACCTGAATTAACAGTTCCAGTAAAACCCAGATTATTACAATCTGATGCCCCGCCCATATATAATCCCTGCAGTTTTATTATTGAAAATAGTAGAAAACACATAATGAGCAATGTAAAATAATATACTGAAAAAGAGTACAAGTGAAGTTCATCTCTGCACCTGTTGTCTTGCATGGTTGAGCTCTTGTTCCAACTGCATCAGCTTCAAACGACTTGATTCTAATTGCTGCACATAGGCCTGTAAGGGAATATCAAAAGCCACATAAAAGGTTGGTATATCATAACAATTTTGTTGCCCATATGACTATCTTTCAATGCACAATCCTTCCAACCTTTTTCCGCAGACGACTCTTACGAGCAGCCTCCCTATTTTGTGCAAGACGTCTTTGTATCTGAATGTTTTAACAATATCAAGTTCCCACTTTTTTAGCAATATAAGCATCAAACAGATATAAAAAGATATGAATGTACGACAGACATCTGAAAATGGAACCATCATAGATCCCCAAGAGAGGGTCTGAAGGGGTCAGTGATAACATGCTTCCCTTGTTGTCCTTGGCATATCCATAAAGCTAAAAACAAAGACAAGAGAAAACAGAGAATGGATGCCTTCGCCAATTCAGGGGTATCCTCCCCTACATTTGACGGACTAGTTTAAGAAGGTACTTGTCCCTAGCCCTCTTGATTTTATGCCTAGAATTCAGTCATCCTCACCAATCACCATGGGCAGGACTAGATAACAATACCCATCACTCAGTTACTATGAAAATTCCAATATCAAGAAACTCTTTCTGAAGCTAAGAATAAAAAACATCCACATTTACATTCAAAGATTATTTCAATCGAATATTACATCTGCTGGAAGTATTAAATGTACAATAGAGTTCAGCATACCAACTGTTCTAAAAAACATAACCCTTTTCGTTTTTCAGTTGCTGGAAGTCAGAGGGGAAGGAGATGGATATGTAAGGGGTTTTCATAACATGCTCTCACCTTATCAATAGGTCTATGAGCTTCTTGGCCATACATCTTGGACGTACCCAATGTGTTATGAGAAGCATCCTCTGGCTAGGTATTAAAAAAGCAAAAGAGTTTCCTTAGTGGAATATGCATTCTCATTTGCCAGCAAAGGAAAAGAACAGAACAAAAACAAAGCATGAACTTTGTAAAGTTTTACCTGATTTATGAACTTCCCATCTGCTTCACCAATTAAGGCACTTAAATTAACATTACTTTTGAAATTTTCTCCCCACATGTTAATCTGTTGAATTGGATCATAAACACCCATCCTTCTTGAGGAAACAAACTGTGTGGATGGAGAATTCATTTTCTACGGATTGGTCAGCGCAGTATTTCAATCAGCATCCGTGACATACACATGAATAATAACCTGCTGTTCAGAAAACACAAAAGCATTTCCAGGTAAGTAAATAATGCTTACCCGAATGAATCAAACTAGGTCTAGATGAGCCATGAGAGAGATTGACTAGACTAGAAGAAATGTCCAATTATATGATATAGCCAATCTAGAATTAGAAGTTATACTACTAGATAAAATGGATGTACAGAAGGATGCATTTTAAGAATCATTTCTCGTATAAAAAAGTTAATACTAACTCCGCAGAAGTATAATTGGCACTAACATATGTTCACTAGGGATCAACCCCTGATAAAAATCTAACTATGCCCAAGAATTGCATGAGGTTAGACTTGCATCCACTCTCCCAAAAAAAAAAAAATGAAGCCGACCATTGAAGATGGCATCAAAACAAGGTTAAGCAACTCATTACCAGAAGATCTACCATAAGGTAAGACGAAAAATTTGTAGCTAAGAGATAATAAAACAGTAGGACCAAGTCAACTTGGATGTCCTGGCAACAGCGTAGGGGAAATGGAAAGAAGTGTCGGACACCATAAGTCTGATCATGTGGCACTAACAGATACTGCAAATATATTGGATTCATCCAATCCATGCTTTAGTTTATTTATTCAACCAGCCATGTTTCAAAAAGCAAGAAATAAGAAGTATTCAACGGCCTCTGCAAAAACATTTTTCAAGCTTGGATTCATCGAACAGCCAAATAACCATTTTAGTATAGTAAAAGACAACAGAAATTGAAAAAGATACAAGAGGAAAGTACCAGTAATCATTAGGATGGCAGATAGATGAGCTTTAAATGGAAAGAACATAAGTAGCTCCTTCAAGATAAAGCATCTAGTTCATATGTCATGGGAAAATTCCATTAGATTTTATATTTCCATGATTCGACCCACCTCCTCATTTTTCCTTGGCAGTTAAAGGGAATTCAATTCCTTGAAAATAGATATAAGAAAGCCAAAAAAAAAGGGAATAGAGATCGAACCTTTGAAAGCTACTCTCAGAACAAGCTTTTCCCGCTCAACTCATGCCACCTTGGCGACAACAAAAACCAGAACGAAATTCCCTAAGCCCCAACTGAAACCCTATCTCTCACCAGTTACAAAACCCGAAGTTCCCATCACTTTCGATGAAGAATCGAACGATGCCCACGACAGCTTAAAAGCGACCCTCAAACTGTTAGTTTAGCTTCTCTTGCATTGATAATACATTAATCATTATAATAGTATCAGGCTTGCTGTTATATATATATATATATATATATATATATATTTACACACACACATTATATAAAAACTGAGAGACCCATTTTGTTATTGTTTTTTTCTGCGAGTCATTGGGCGAAGTTGTGTGCTACAGAGTCAAAGATTTCACACGAAGCTAAATGTCGCAGTCATCTCATCCTTCCACTACCCCATATATGCGCACCAGGTAGATCCGGTTCATGGTTCACACACTCTTACTCAGTGATTGGGTGACGTCAGATGCCGATTGGTCCAGTGGCCGGGGACTTGCGGGTCACCGGCGAACGGAGGAGAAGAAGCGAGGACCCAGGAAATGGGGTCTGATTTGTGTGATTGATTATATTATTATTATTCAAGCTGTGGAATCTGCGTTGTACGCGCAAGGATGGTATTTGGGAATTGAAGGTGATGCTCCAATGCGCAAGTTTCGCGGCTAAAAAATGTGTGGTTGACGCGTGGCATTGTGTTTGCAGTGCGTGTCTTTCACTCGCTTTTCTGCGAATGGAGGGTAGTCTGTAATGTAATTTTGGTGGTGGATAACGTTAACCACCAAAGGTGGTTATTTACAAGATTGGATACCTTTTAGGTAATGGAGTAATTTTTTTTTTATTAATTTCATAAACAATATTTTTTTGTTTAGTTTTAAATATAACACTTAATTTTTTTTTATATTTATTTATTTTACTCATAAGTAAATTTTTTTCATATGTTAAGGAGTTTTTATGACTATCAAAGAATATTTTCAATGCACGTTGATAATAGTATTTTTTAAAAACTTATTTATTTATTTTAAATAATTAACCTAATTAGTTTTATAACATTAATAAATTAGTTATCTAATTTTTATATTAAATATATACCCAATAACATATTTTTATAAATAAAGGAATCCAGTACTTCAGTAAAAGAGGGTTGTATGGAAGCCAAAAGAAACATTACCTCTCGTCCAAACTCCTGGCTCTTTTTTACACCCTTTTTTTTATTTTAAATAAGATTTTTTTTTTATAAAATACGATGTAATATTTATTAATTATTGTTTCTTCTGTCCTTATTGTATGAACTAATTATGGAGTTAAGCTTGATCCTAGATGTAAAATATATTTATCAAATTTTTTTGAATCACCCTGTATTAATACTCCTTCAACTATAATTAAGTAGGAAAAGAAATTATATTATTGAAAATAATTATTAGGATATTTAAAAAATATGTCATATTTATTATTATTAACCAATGTATCTAAATTTTTTAACTCAATTAAATTAGTTAAATACTACCCCCGGTCCTAATTATAAGAGCCAGTTGACTAATTTAAAGAGATTAAGGAAGTAAACTGAGTTAGTTATTTGTTCTAAATATGTGTTGTCTTTCCTAAAATATCCTTACTAATCAAGTGTATTAATTGAAACTATAATTATTAGAAGGATTATCTTAGAAAAAATTGAGTAAATATGAGAGACAAAGTAGATTGGGATCTTATATTTAAAACCAAAATAAAATCAAACAGGATCTTATATTAAGAACAAGAGGTAGTAGATCTTATATTAAAAAAGTATTAAATATATTCCTGTTCCTTTTGTTATTTGGCGAGGAATATGTTCCCCCTCAATTCATGTAAAACAGTAAAAGGTAAACGGGAGAAAAGAGGATATATGTTATTCTCTTCTTTTTTTTTTTGGTTAATTTATCTTATTATTTCACTTGTTCTAATAAAAATTTAAATAAGGATAAGTTTAGAAAATGAGTTTAATTTTTATCCTTTAAAATGTTTTTATCTCTCATTTAATATTTTTTGCCTTAGCTATATAAAACAAGCTTCTATGACTGTTGTCCTTTATAAATTTAATATTTTTATTAGTTTTGATGAAATTATTTTTCCAGAAATGTAAATTAAATCAATGTTATATTTATCATTATACAATTTATTTTAAAACATATACTACCTCCGGTCCTTAATATAAGACCTCTTTTGATTTTTATTTTGATCCTAATTATAAGACCCCAATCCATTTTGTCTCTCATATTTATGAATTCTTTCCCCAAATAGTCCCTCTAATAATGGTAATTTTAATCAATAAACTTGATTAGTAAGGATATTTTAAGAAAGACAACACTTATTTATTATAAATAACTAACTTAACTTGTTTTTTTAATTTTCTCAAATTAATCAACTAGCTCTTATAATTAGGACCAGAAATAGTAATTTTTTATTTGTTTACAGGATATATTTTAAATTTCAAAAAATAAATTTCATATGTTTTCTATTTTGGAAACAGAAGAGAGAAGGATAGCAGTAGAATTTACAATAGTGAAACATGAGTTGTTGGGAGCATCAGATAATATTCCAAGAACGAACTGGCAGGTTGAAGAATTCCAACGCGAAATTACTTTTGAAATGCAGAATATTTACCTTATTATTTTATTGCCCGGGGGGGTGTGGGGGAAGGGTGGGGAGGCACCAATGCAATGCAAAGTACTATGGAACTTCCTTCACTTTTAACCGCGGGTTTACGTACCCCTCTCCCATTCCCTTACGTTCCATAGGCATTAAAGGCTATCAAATATTAAAGAATAATTAATTTAAAAAAGTCAGACAATTTATTAAATAAGAATGTGGTAGTGCTAGAGCTAGGAATTCGAATTCAACCAAAAGGAGCAGCTTATTTTTTTCCTTTTTTTGGAATCATGATGAGATCCGGAATTTATAGAAAAATAATTATCAATAAATTTCAAGAATAAGTAAATAGTTATCGTTTACTATCTTAAAATTTGTTATTACATATTGTTTTGTTGTCGTTTGAATTTTATAGTAATTATATTTTTCATTTGAAACTTCAAAACAATTCTTTGTTTTTTTATAAGTCCCGCTTGAAAAAATAAAAAGAAGGTGGGGGAGGAATTTTCAAACTCAAACTTAAAAACTCATTGGAAATAAAAGTATTTAGGTCGAATTAGCCTGAAACGCTTTTTTGTTTCGGTTGAGTTTGAGCTCTAATTGGTAAAACCCTTCACTCGTTGGGGTTAGGCTTGTCCATTTCATACCTCTAAATGTGACTTATATCCCATAAAAATATTGGCTTGAGAGTGAAGATCTCATTGATGAACATAATTTGTGAGTATATTTTTCAGATTGTAATATCTGTTTTAATCTTAAATAACTCTAGAGTCCATCTCATTTAAATTGTGAATTACTTAAGAATTATTTAAGACAAACATGCTCACAATTTATGTTACTTTGTATGCCGAACAATAAGCCACTGAAGTTAGACCACCATTATTCAATGACCTCCAGTAAGATCAGACTTTCAGGAACACTTCTGAGACAAAACAAGATTGGTTTCCATTTCCATCTTATACATTCATAGCAATACAAGTTTCCCTTATAAAATACTCATAAAATACTCCTCCGATCCTAAATATAAAACATACTACCTCCGGTCCTTAATATAAGATCTTGTTTGACTTTTTTTTTGTCCTAAATATAAGACCCAAATCTAGTTTGTCTCTTATATTTACTCAATTTTTTCTAAGATAATCCTTCTAATAATTACAGTTCCAGTTAATATATTTGATTAGTAAGAATATTTGGAAAGACAACACGACAAATAACTAACTCAACTTACTTTCTTAATCTCCTTAAATTAGTCAACTGACTCCTATAATTAGGATCAGAGGTAGTATTTTTTAGTGTAAATTCTATACAAAACGAGTCTTATATTTAGAATTGAAGTAGTACTCTCTTTCTTGTTTCCATATACGCCAACCTTATCTTCACAATTAGGAATATATATATATATATATATATATAATGTATATTCATTTTATTAAAAAAAAAAAAGTGGTGCCGACTTATCAGATAGACAAGCCTTGAGGGGAAAGGCATGTGTAATGACAAGAAATAGAAATCATTTTAAAAACGATGGAATAGGTCATACGACACCAAATTAATTAAGAATGCAATGGATATGATCTAACCTATGAATTACAAAGTGAAAAAGCGTATATTAGGCAGACTGTTTTTTTTAACCTTTATAACAAAGATACTAATTAATTACAAAATTATATGTCTTTTATATGTTTTTTATACAAATTTTTGTCTTTGCGTAGAACTTTGGAACAAACTTTTGATTAGGAATCCAAATCTCTTTTGCATTCCTTTTGCCTTTGCCATATCTGCATGAACCAAGTAGCTACCTTCCTCTCTCCAAGTCCACATTCTGCACTTTCTTTTTGTTTAATTTCCTTATAATAATAACAATTTGAAGCCCTATGTTTAATGTTAATTCATATTCGAGCCTTATAAAAGCCTCTCGACATTTTTTTTTATTTATTCAAAATATTCAAGTTTGAGACCCTGTTTTAAAAAACATTTACTAGCATCTTTTATCTGACTCAAACATCACTTGAAATAAAAATAAAAACACTTTGAAAAATACTATTATAGCTAAGGTAATAAAAATCAAACCATGTCATTCAATCGGTTAAGACAGTGGTTCAAGAGTCAATAGTTTAATATGAGCTCAGATTGGTCATAATTAAAATAACATAATTTAATTAAAATATATAAAAATATTTATAATCACCCAAGATGGAGTTACTGAAACACAAATTTAATGTATTCTTATTTTCTTTTTTTTTAAATTAAAACGATGTTGTTTCAACTGTGATATGGTAAAGAAAAAAAAAATTTAAAATTCTACTGCGTCGATTCATCCAAAACTCCTAATCAGACCAATCAAGAGACTATTTCACTGATTTGTTAGTCTAACCAAGCAACTCAGATTTTGTTTTATTACAATGGACAAAACACAATAAATAGAAATCCGTATATATAATACCTAACTTTTTATACCCAGTCTCAAACGTATTTTAGCAAAGAAATGTAAATTTGCAAATTGCAAATATATTTTCTTTGCGACAATGCGAGAAGTATGGATGAAGTACAATTCCTACTTCAGATGTGGTGAGGTAATGCATGGCTG